CCCTTTGACATGAAGAAAAAAGGAAAAATTCAGCCTGCCTGCCTCCCTCTCTCCCTCCTCCCCTCCCTTTGCCCTCTTCTCCCCTCCCCACTCCTTCCCTCTCTCCTTTCCCTTCTCCTTCTCCTTCCTTCCTATCCTTTCCAGTGGTTGATGCCAGAAGGAACAGACCTTGAGTTGACCTAAAGCTTGATCCTAGATCTGCTATGATAGCTGTCCTGAGAAACCAACCCTGAAAAATTGACCTTTGATTCAAACTTTCAGTAAATCTCAGGAATGTACTGATGGGCCTCCAGAGCAGTTGGGAGATGCTAGGCAGGTGCAAAGACTCCCAAGAGATGAGTGGATAAGAATTTCTCCAAGAACCTGCCAGACATTGCCCCTGACCACTGGGTTCTTTGTGAGGACTTCTATAAGGGAAAGACCACTGTAAACAAAGATAAAGGGCCACAGTTAGACTGGAAGAAAATATCTGCAGGGTATATAACAAATGATTATCATCCAGAGTATGTAAACCTCTACCCTCCAGAAAAATAAAGCTGAATGTCGGACTCAACAGAAAAAGGGGGCAAAGTGAAACCGCTAGGTGTCTTTTCCCCGGGTGTTGGGGGGTGAGCACCATGGCGCTCCAAGGAGCTCCAGTCCTTTATGTCTCAGCACAGAAAGAGTTCATCTAGGTGCTAAGTGATAGATAAGAGGGGATTTATTAGAATAGGACACTTGTGAGGCTTACAAGTGAGCTGGCAAGAGGGTGCCACACTCCGAGAACTTAGTGGGCTACGGATTTATAATCAAAGGAAAAATGGGGTGGGGGAAAAGACCACCTTCTTCCTCATTCTTGAGTAGACATCAGGCTTCCATCATAAGCTCCTCCTCCAGGTTGGGCACGGGAGTTTTCTTGTCCCTACATGGTCAAGCCAGGACTGTCATGACATTATGGAAAAATTATTTTAGGTTCCAGTACAATAAGGGTCTTTCACTTTGAATGTCACCCTTCCATAAATTATTGTTTTTTATGTGTGCAAAGAGCATGTCCTAGGGGTCATTAACTTACGAGCTTACTGGGCAGGATGTGGGTCTCATGCCACCATTGTTTTATTGTTTGGGGGCATGTCTCATGCTTCTGTTGCATGGTTTTGTTCCTAAGCAGGCCTGCTTAGTTTTGTGGTTAAGCAAACCTGCTTTCTTGAGTGATCCTTAACTTACAGGGGTCTCCCATATTTTTTTCCACTTACAGTCCCCTAGTGGGATTAACTATTTAATCACCTACTTTCTCCCTTTATTCTGTTCCTGTCAAAAGGATATAAAGTCATTCTCAGAAAAGGAAGTAGAGCAGGAAAATGCAAAATAAAATGAGAAACCAGCTTTTTATCTACAGAACTGGATTAAATTCTTTGTTCCTTTTTTTCCTAAGATTTTGGAGGATCTACAGTTGCATTTCTAATCTACTAGTGGTTTAATTAATGAAATAGTTAAATTTGTGCTTTGCCACTAATATCAAGAATATATCAGGTAAAATGAAAATACACAGGATATAGGAAAATATTTACAAATTATATGTCTGATAAGAAGCTAGTGTCCAGAATACATAAAGAACTCTTTAAACTCAAATAAGCACATGAAAAGATGCTCAACATCATTTAGGAAACTGGAATTCTCATAAATTTTTGGTAGGAATGTAAAATGCTGTAGCCACTTTGGAAAACAATTTGGCAGTTCCTCAAAAAGTTAAACATAGATCCATCATATAGCCCAGTATATACCCAAGAGAATTGAAAATATATGTCCACACAAAAATTTGTACTGAGGGGCTTCCCTGGTGGTGCGGTGGTTGAGAATCCGCCTGCCAATGCAGGGGACACGGGTTCAAGCCCTGGTCCGGGAAGATCCCACATGCCACAGCACAACTAAACCGGTGCACCACAACTGCTGAGTCTGCGCTTTAGAGCCCGCAAGCCACAACTACTGAAGCCCGTGTACCTAGAGCCTGTGCTCCGCAACGAGAGAAGCCACTGCAGTGAGAAGCCTGCTCACCGCAAGAAAGAGTAGCCCCCACTCGCTGCAACTAGAGAAGAGCCCACGTGCAGCAACAAAGACCCAACACGGCCAAAAATAAAAATAAATTAATTAATTAAAAAAAAAAAACTTGTACGGAGTGCTCATAGAAGTATTATTCATAATAGACAAAAGTGGCAACAACCCAGATGTCTGTCAGCCAGCAAGTGGATAAACAAAATGTGGTACATTCATACAATGGAATACTAACTATTTGGCAATAAAAAGGAATATAAAGTACTGGTATATTCTGCAACATGAATGAACCTCGAAAATATGCTGTGCAAAAGCAGTCAGATACAAAGGCTATATATTATATGATATCACTTATATGGAATGTCCAAAAAAGGGCAAATATATAGAGACAAAAAGTAGATTAGTGGTTGCCTAGGGCCGGGGGCAGAAATGGGGAATAATGGGAACAAAGTTTTCCAAAGTAGCTGTACCATTTTTCATTCTCACTAGCAGTATAGAAAGGTTCAGATTTCTCCACATCCTTATCAATACTTGTGTCTGTCTGTTTGATTGTAGCTGTTCTAGTATATGAGAAATGGTATCTCACTGTGGTTTTGACTTGCATTTCCCTAATGACTTATGAAGTTGAACATCCTATTGGCCATTTGTATGTGTTTGGAGAACTGTCCAAATTCTTTGCCCAGTTTTAAATTACATTATCTTTTTACTGTTGACGTATAAGAGTTCTTTATGAATCTAGGTATAAGTCCCTTATTGGTTATACAGTTTGCAAATATTTTCTCCCATTTCATGGGTTTCTTTTTACTTTCTTTCTTTTTTTTTTTTTTTTTTTTTTGGGGATGGCTCACGGGCCTAGCCATTCCACGGCATGTGGGATCTTCCCGGACCAGGGCACAAACCCATGTCCCCTGCATCAGCAGGCGGACTCTCAACCACTGCGCCACCAGGGAAGCCCTCTTTTTATTTTCTTGATGGTATCTTTTGAAATACAAAAGATTTCGTTTATCCCATGTGCTTTTGGTATTGTATCTAAGAAGTCAGGCCTAACTAACCCAAAAATCACAATTACTCCTGTGTTTTCTCTTTAAGTTTACATAGGTTTATCTCTTTGTATTTAGTTCCATAATTCATTTTGAGTTAATTTTTGTATATGGTGTGAGGTAGGGGTCCAAATTTATCTTTTTGCATGTAGTTAACCAGTTGTCCCTGCACCATTTGTTGAAAAGACTATTTTTTTACTATTGAATTTTGGGAGCACATTTGTTGAAAATCAGTTGAATGTAAGAACTTATTTCTGGACTCTCATTTCTATTGCATTGACCTATATGTCTGTCCTTATTCTGGTATCACACTCTTGATTTCTGTAGCTTTGTAGTAAGTTTTGAAATTGGGAAGTCTGAGTCCTCCAACTTTGTTCTTATTTTCCTAGATTGTTATGGCTGTTCTGGGTTCTTTGAAATTCCATGTGAATTTTAGGATGAACTTGTCATTTTCAGTAACATCAACAGAAAGCCAGCTGATATTTGATAGAGATTGCATTGAATCTCTACACCAACTGGGGGTATATTACCATCTTAACAATATTAAGCCTTTTAGTTTATGAACCTGGAATGTCTTTCATTTCTTTAGTTTTTTATTTTCTTTCAGCGGTGTTTTATAAAGTTTTCAATGTATATATCTTATGCTTATTTTGTTAAATTTACTATACAAAGTATTCTTCTTCATGGTATTGTGAATGGAATTATCTTAATTTCGTTTTCTGATTGTTCATTGTTAATATGTAGAAATACAGTATGTTAATCTTGTATTGTGCAACCTTGCTAAACTCATTATTTCTACTAGTTTTTTAGTGGATTAGGGTTTTCTATATGCAAGGTTGTGTTGTTTACTAAGAAAGACAGTTTTACTGTCTTCCCTATCTGGATACCTTTTTAAAAAAAAATTTGTGGGGTGCTAATTGGCCTGGCTAGAAATTCCAGTACGATGTTGAATAAAAGTGGTGAGAGTGGACATCATTCCCTTGTTCCTGATCTTAGAGGGAAAGAATTCAGTCTTTTTCCATTATGTATGATGTTGGCCTTAGTTTTTTCATACTTGTCCTTTATCAGGTTGAGAAATTTTACTTCTATTCCTAGATTTTTGAGGGCTTTTGTCATGATTGGGTGCTGGATTTTGCCAAATGCATTTTCTGTATCACAATGATGATGTGGTTTTGTTCTTTAGTTTATTAATATTATGTTATACTAATTGATTTAAGGATATTAAACCAGTCATTCATTCCTGGGATAAAGCCCATTTGCTCATGATGCATAATCCTTTTTACTGTGTTGCTGGATTTAGTTTGCTAGGTGGGTATTTTGTGTCTATTTTCATGAGAGATATAGGTCTGTTCTATAATTTTCTTTCTTGTGATGACTGTCTGGCTTTGGTACCAGGGTAGTACTGGCTTCAGAGTGAGTAGGGAAGTATTCCCTCCTCTTGTATTTACTGAAAGAGTTTTCAAAAGGATTGGTATTAATTCTTCTTTAAGTACTGGTAGAATTCACCAGTGAAGCCATCTGGGCTTGGATTTTTCTTTGTGGGAAGATTTTTGATTATTCATTCAATCTCTTAGTATAGGTAAGTAAAGTATAATACAGGCAGCTTTTCTGTTTCTGCTTGAGTCAATTTAGGTAACCTGTATTTTATAGGAATTTTTCTATTTCATCTAAGTGATCAAATTTGTTGGCATACAGCTGTTCCTGTTATTTTCTGGCAAGTAGCTTTTTGGCTATATGTGTTCTCCTGTTTAATCTATTGAAGGGTTTTTGTTTTGTGTCTGATTTTGTTTTATCCTTTTCATTTTGCAAGATCTCTAAATATTGTGAAGGTTTGTTCCAGAGCTTGCTTTCGTACTTTATGAATGCAATGATCTCTGAAGCCTCCTTGAATTTGCTAAATTTAGTATTTTTCATTCTCTTAAGTTTCTTGCATTAATCCTTCCTTCAGAGTTAGTCGTTCCGTGTGTTTATCTAGGTGGTGCTTTTAGGTTGATGATTTTCTCATACTAGTGATTCCTCAAGGTTGATCTGTATTTATAACTGAATGTCTAGGCTTACGAGTACTGGGTGAACTGAGATTTCGTGAAGGTGTGGTGTGATGTCTAAGGGAGAGGCTGGCTAGCTAGTACCAGGGCTGTCCAGCTCTGGTCTGCTCTGGCTGTTGTTGAATGGTCTGCATTCCTTCCACAGTGGAGGAAGGAAGGAGCAACGGACCAGGTGTGTGGATACATTTGGCATGTTCATGGTTGTGCCATGTGCCTCCCCACTTGGGGCGTTCTGGCTAGAAATGCAGTGCTTCGGAAGTATCTCTCAGTACTTCTCATAGCACCTTTTCCTCTTATCCCAAACCCTTGTTTTTACATTTCTTCTATAATTTCAGTGAGATCTTGAAGGGGAAGAGAGAGAGAAGCATTTGTTCAGTCTTTTTATCTTGAACCAGAATACAGATATTTTGGTAAATGATTTTAGGTATTACATTTTTTTGGTGTTGTGCTTTGCCCTTTTGCTATGTGCACAGTTGCTCATCTTCACAGGAAAAACATGTATAGTCCCCAGATCTTAAGCAATTTTGGTGGAATATTTGATGTCGTCATTTTTAAGTTCTTCAGTTGCAGTCTATTTAAAACAACTCAAATACCTACAGGGTTGGGGTAGAAAGCAGGTGGGTAAACAGAACAGGTGCAAGGCCATGGAAAGTTGTCAAGGTGGAGACTGTATGACATTGACCAACCAAGACAGATCTGTAAAAGAGCAGATCTTAACTGTTTCACCACAAAAAAGAAATGGTAATTGTGTGACATGATGCAGGTGTTAGCTATAGCTATGGTGGTCATCATTTTGCAGTAAGTGTATCAAATCAACACATTGTATACTTTAAATGTGCACTTTAGATTTACACAATGTTATATGTCAGTTATGTCTCAGTAGAGCTAAGGAGAAAAAAAGGTCTGCTTACAGGTTGTGCACTACATGAGTGGCCCCACCTGAAGTATGCAGTGCACAACTGTCCTGAGCAGCCCTGAGAGGTCCAGGCCTCATATGCCTTTCTAGTTGTAAACTCCTGTATGCATCAGGAATCAGTAATTCCACTTATAGAAATATTTACATATAAAACATGGTTATTTTTCTAAAAATGAAAAACTGGAAGCAAACTAAATATCTAAATGTAATGGTTAAGTGACTGTTTGGCTTCATAGAACTCATTCTGCCATTTAAAGTTTTGTTTATGATAGGTAAAATAATGTGGTAAAATAATTGTGATCTACATTTTAAAAAATCAAAATTGACTATTAATATGAACACAACTGTGTAAAACTGTATAGAAAAAAATACTGGAAGGAAAGATCCAAATGTGGACAGTGATCTCTGGGTGGTAAAATTGTATATGATTTTTTTTTTCCCTTTCCTTGTATTTTTCAAATTTACTATCATGAGCATATATTATTTTTACAATTAATAACAACAAAAACTTTTTTTTTTAATGGCTCTGGACTTTCACCTTGCTTGGTGTATTTCTGATTTTCCTGAATTAGCTCTTTTTTGATGTTTTGATCTTATTTCTCAAACTAGTTTTTAGTAGTTTTGATGATTATTTAGAAGCAATAAGGAACTTAGATAGTTGCAAATAAATCTTGTGGAACGTAGTCCACCCAGCTCTACCATAGGAAAAGCCCCTTAAAATTCTTTCTTTCAGCTTGCCAGTGCAATGGCCACAGCAAATGCATTAATCAGAGTATCTGTGAGAAGTGTGAGAACCTGACCACGGGCAAGCATTGTGAGACCTGCATATCTGGCTTCTATGGTGATCCAACCAATGGGGGAAAATGTCAACGTAAGTCAAATTTTTCAGGGTTACTGATTGCAAACCAGGTGGCACATAATGCATCTGTTTGACTTGTATATCTTGGAGGAAAAAAGCCACTTGGTTTCAGATATTGCATTTCTTAAGTTATACTTGTCAGGAGCTCAGCTGAGCTGAGGGAGAGAGAGCAGAGCTGCCAGATGTCAGAGTAGCCATTAAAGCAACTAGTCAAAAATGAAGGACTTCCCTGGTGGTCCAGTGGTTAAGATTGCACACTCAGTGCAGGGGGCCCGGGTTCGATCCTTGGTTAAGGAACTAGATCCCACATGCCACAACTATGAGCCTGCATGCCACAACTAAAGATCCCCCGTGAGGCAACAAAGATCCTGCATGCCACAACTAAGACCTGGCGCAGCCAAACAAATAAATATTAAAAAGAAAAAAATGAGGGAGTTAAGCCTTTAATCACTTACTGTGATGGTATAAGCAAGAGGCTTACACTGGAGAAAGCACTGACTCCCCTTGTTCCACTCTCCCTCCTGGAATGGTGCTCTGGTTGAGCATCAAGTGGATCAGCATAGGCTTCAGGGAAAACTCATTGTTAGGGGAGCCCTGAACAAAAAGGCCCAGCAAAAAGCCTTTTATGGACTCTGGGGTCGGGAGGGAGGGTGAAGGGGAAGGACTAAGAGTGGAAAAGTACCTGGGACTGACTGAGAGTGGGTAAAGCCTCTTTGAGGTTCCCCTCCTCCTCCATATGGAAGCTCAGCAGAGGTGACTGAAGAAGACCTCTGCCCAAGGCCTCAGATAAAGAGACCTAGGAATGAAGGTGCCTGAGCTAGGAATGCAAATATGTGAAAGAGAGTGGCCGGCCAGGTGACCTGAGACCTTGACTCAGCCCCCCTCAGAGACTTCCACCCAGGCTGGTGTGGGGAGGGCAGCTTTCCTGGTATGGCCCACCAGGGAAAGGCTTTGTCATTGTCTATGGTTCGGCCTCAAAACTCACATGTAGGTTTTTAACCAGGAGCTGGACTCCTCAGTACTTCTACTATTTTTAAAGATTTAAGTAGTCCCATGTTTCCCCATACATGTCAAATAGATTCCTGTGAGCAATAGGACACTTTATTGTTAGTACACAAATTATATTTTTTAAAATGACAAGTGATACCAATAAATGACTTTTTGGTTTGTTCTAGTTTATAGTGGAAAGACCCATCAGGTCTGAGTAGGAAAATAAATAAGAAAGGAAAATCTCTACCTACTTGTCACATCCCACCTCCAAACTCCTTAGCATGGTTCTTGATCAGATTAAAAGGTATTCAGTAAAACTTTTTTCACTCTTTGTGAAAGATTTCATCCATTAGACAGAAATCAGAGTACCTGACATTATTGAGTGGTGAGTATATACAAGGCATTGTGCTGGTAGCTACCTGAGACAGTGCTGCTTTTATTATCCCCAGGATCAAGTAGCCTGCCCAAGGTCTCACTGAGATTTTGCCATGCTGAGAACCATATCCAGGATGTGTGACTTTAGCTCTTGGGTCTGGTTGTGCCACTGTGAGGGTACCATCGTCCCCATATCTTCAGCTCTCATCTTAGAAAAATTACATTCTCCTCTGTGGCATCTGTGGGGCCTGAGTACAGTTGTTCAGAACTCAGAGCTAGCTTTATTTTTCAGAGTCGCAATCCATAATAGAAAGCATGATTTAAAAATACTATGAGTGGCACCAAGTCCTTAATGTTTTCTTCTTAGAATTGTATAGTCCTTAAGCTATGGATAACAGCGATGATTTTTTGAATGCTTACTGTGTTTTATTCATGTGTTATCTCATTTAATCCTCCCCAAAACCCTACAGGATAGGCACTGTTATTATCCCTGTCACATGGATGAGGAGGCTGACTTAGAAAGGGAACTAAGTGGAGGGACCTGAATTCAAACCCAGGCAAACTGAACTTTAGGCCTTTGCTTTTGTTAACACACTGCACCTCTCTCCATCCTCAGTAGAGCCCAGACTTGAACCCTAGTGTTTCTCACTCCAGCATAAATTTTCTTCACCACTGCACTATTCTATTCATAGGTTTCTTTGGATTTTTTTTCCCCACCGGGTTTCTTTTAAAAGTACACCTATCTCCAGCCTAATACTTTTAATTTATTCACAGAAAAACAGTTTGTAGAGTGAAAAGGTATTGAGCAAAAGGATTCATTTATTTCACCTGGAGTATAAAGTTTGTCATAGCTCACACTTATGTGTTGGATGAAAGAAGGTGGAGGTGTGTTGGTGGCTAGAGGAGGGAGATGAAAAGAGTCGTTTGCTGTTAAGGAAGAAGAAGGCAGACAAGGGTGTGAATCCTAGAGGGCCGCTGAAACACTGACCTGCCACTGGAATCCTGCCTTAGAAGCGTGGCCATTGTGGAGAAGTCTCCTCAGCTAAGGCAGAGCTTAGCCAGACCAACCCTCCCCCCAGAGGGCAGTCATCGCTCAGAGGTCTCTGTGAGGACGGGGACTTTGTCTGTGTGCCACACTGGAGATGCTTCAGAAATGTTTATTGAGTGAATGAGAGAATGGTGATAGTGAAAAACAGAGTCTATTGCAAAGATCTTTGCAAAGTCTATTGCAGAGGGATGACCCCATTGGCAGCAGACACTGACATTTCTCTTTCCTCCTGGCCTGTGACTTTGGCTTCTTTAATGTTGCCTTGACATTATTTGAGATAAATCACTAGCTAAAAAACAAGAATTGTACCCCTTAAATGAATGCATTTATTTTACCTGCCTTTCCTGTTGAATCTAGTTGAGATAATATTATTTGTTTTAGGGAAAGTCTCTAATAGTGGTAATCTTTTAAGCCAGTTGTGACCACCTGCTTTCCTTTTCCTTCTCCCCAGCATGCAAGTGCAATGGGCACGCGTCGCTGTGCAATACCAACACGGGCAAGTGCTTCTGCACCACCAAGGGTGTCAAGGGGGACGAGTGCCAGCTGTGAGTACCACACTCCCAGGACTCCTGCCACAGGCCACACCTCATCAGGGAGGGCCAAGGGGCTGTGAAACTACCTGAACCCCAAGAGCCACCCTTTTCTCTGGGCCTTGTTGCCGTGGGCTCTGAGGGATCCCCAAGTTGACTGATTTGAAATTTTGCCCTTTATACTTCAGATAGGTGTAATTTAGTCACCCTCCATACTGGGAAGGTTGTCAGTTTAGCAGTAATTCCTTAATGGCTCTTTAAATCACAATTTTAATTTTGAGTGACACTGACAGTTCCTTGCTTGCTGACTTGGATTAGTCTTTTAACTTCAGTAACGACTTGATTTTTGTCATGTCAGGATATTTTCCTAAAAGATAGAGTTAGAAGAGCTGGTATTCCAGGACAGTATTTTATTTGGCATTTTGGTTGTCTAATAGTAGAGAGGTCATCTTGCCTTTAACACACCCTCCCTGTTCTAGCATTTTCCTTGGTGAAGTATGTCAAACATCTTCCGGGGAAGAGTTTGGGGTTCCCATCCATGAGGATGCAAACAGCATCAGGCAGATGTGGGGATTCAGCCCTGGCTGTGCCTCCACTGAGTAGGGTGCTGTTGAGGCAAATCACTTAAAATGAGGTGTTAAGCCTCATTTTCCCCATCTATCAATAGTGAGGCTAGTGGTAATTGTTTTTAGTGTCCTGGTGAGTTGAAACAAGAGAGAGTATTCCCCAGTTTCTCTCTGCCTCACCAGAAAACCTCATAAAATAAGCTCTAAATTTAATTTTTAAATCTAGGTTCCTTTAAATAGAAAAATGTAATAGAGCAAAATTAATCACCCCTGCCTTCAGTTAATGGTATACAACAAAGAAATGAAGTGTAGGTCTAGTGAAAGACATTCTCTTTAGGAAATTTTAAATATAAACAAGTGCTGATAATCACTCTAGATAAAAAGACACAACATCCTTGTATTATTTATCTGGCAAAAGTACTTGACCCAAGCTTTACCCTCCTTTCCTCAGAGTTCATAGCTATTGTGCCTGCCTGAATCACTTTGTAAAGTGGGAGCCTGGGTTTTACTGATGTTCATAGATGATATTTATGAGGAAATTAATAATTCTTTTTTACTAGAACTTATTTTTTTCTCCAGACTGATAAACCATGTCCAAGGGTTGTTTTTGGTTTTTGGTTTTTTAAGTGATTCTTGGTTTTTAGCCTTCTCTCACTTGTATTTAAAGAACAAGTTCAGTTTATCCAGGAAAAGTGAAAAATGAATATATGAAAAATGTTTTTTTTTTTTTTCAATAACAGCTCTGATTTTATTGCAGTAATAAAAACAGACAGCTAGATGGCCCTAGGAGAAAAACACATATGAGATAGCTGTTCTTCCACTTAGCCACCATTTACATCTTTTGGCATAATCTCATCTAAACAGTTTGCCTTTGCCACAGTCTCATCCACACCCACACATTCCAAAATGGATAAAAACTTAACTACTTTATTAGCAACTAACCACAGGTAAGTCAATTTGAAAAATGTTTTAACTGCACTTTTAGAAGAATATTTAGTCCATACAAAAGTGAACATGTGTTTTTCATGATAATAAATAGGATCTAAATTTTATTTTATTTGAATTTATCTCATGTGCTTTGGCAAATGTTTATCAGTTGGTGGTGGTGTGAACTGCTGGGCAGTCAGCATTGAAAATGAATGCAAAGTCTTGTTAGTCCATCTGATTTGAGTAACAGTGAAGAATGTAATTATACTGACTCAAAAACTGGTAGTTTATATAAAAAGATCTACTTGATTTTAAAGTGAATGTAGATTCTGTTTTAAGTAACAACAGAAAATAATCTTCATTTTTTTCCCCCTAGATGTGAAGTAGAAAATCGATACCAAGGGAACCCTCTCAAAGGAACATGTTACTGTAAGTGTTTTTGCAGTTCTCATTTGTCTAGAAGCAAAGTAGTTCAGTAAAACATTATTTTCTTTAACATGGTTTGAGAATGATAAGTGCTATAAGAATATAGTAACCACCCATAGAAGTGTCCCCTAATTTGATGGGTTACATTCTATTAAATTTAATACATATGTAAATACTATTTTAAGCTGCTTTAATTCTGGTTATGGTTTATAGCAGCATGTCCATAGCAGATATCAGGGAAGAGTACAGAGATATACGTCTCTGGCTTTCCTAATTTATAGTCTCTTGAAACCTTATTTCATTTGCCATTATCTGGTTAGGGTCATTGTATGTCTTATTTTAGGATCGATCAAAAACAGAATTCTTAAAATATAGTTGAAGTTATTCCCTCTGAAACTGATTTGTGTTAACCACCTCTCTAGGAACTAATATGTAAAATAAAATATCTAGTGACTAACTTACAGTGAACAGTAAATCTGGCAAGGTGACCAGGTCCTTATGGGTAAATGCATTTTCTTCCTGTAGGAGAATCCACATACTAGGTCAGATATGGAACCAAAGGAAAATGAGCTAATGTTTTCACATTCTGCTATAATTATATACTGGCTTTTCTGGGTAAAATAATGTCCACTCAAAATTCATGTCCAGCTAGAACCTATAAATGTGTTTTTCTAGAAAAAAACAAGAGAAAACTTCATGACTTTGTATATGGGAAAAGGTTCTTAGATGTGATTCGAAAAGCACAATTCATAAAAGAAGAACTCATTTATTGGGACTTATCAAAATTTAAAACTTGTGTTTTTAAAAAATACTGTTTAAAAATTAAAAAGGGACTTCCCTGGTGGCGCAGTGGTTAAGAATCCGCCTGCCAATTCAGGGAACATGCGTTCAATCCTTGGTCTGGGAAGATCCCACATGCCATGGAGCAACTAAGCCCATGCGCCACTACTGAGCCTGTGCTCTAGAGCCTGTGAGCCACAACTGCTGAGCCCGCATGCCACAACTACTGAAGCCCACGCACCTAGAGCCCTTGCTCCACAACAAGAGAAGCCACCACAATGAGAAGCCCACGCACGGCAACGAAGAGTAGGCCCTACTCCACAACTAGAGAAAGCTCACGCGCAGCAATGAAGACCCTACGCAGCCCAAAATAAATAAATTAATTAATTTTTTTTAAAGTAAAAAACAAGCTACAGACTAAGGAAAATGTTTACAAAGCGTATCTTTGATTAAGAGTTTATATTCAGAATATATAAAGAACTCTTACAACTGGATAAGGGGACAATTTCAGTTAAAAACAGACAAAGATTTGAATAGACATTTCACCAAAGAAGATAGACGAATTGCCAATAAGCACATGAAGAAATGTGTAACATTATTAGACATTTGGGATACGTGTATTAAAACCACAATGAGGGGAGCTTCCCTGGTGGCGCAGTGGTTGAGAGTCCGCCTGCCAGTGCAGGGGACACGGGTTCAAGCCCTGGTCCGGGAAGATCCCACATGCCGCGGAGCAGCTAGGCCTGTGCACCACAACTGCTGAGCCTGCACTCTGGAGCCCACGAGCCACAACTACTGAGCCCACGTGCCACAACTACTGAGGCCTGTGTGCCTGGAGCCCGTGCTCTGCAACGGGAGAGGCCACCGCAATGAGAGGCCCGTGCACCGTAACAGAGAGTGGCCCCTGCTTGCCGCAACTGGAGAGAGCCCACGCACAGCAACGAAGACCCAGTGCAGCCAAAAGTAAATAAATTCAGTAAATTAAAAAAAAATAAAAACACAATGAGGGGGCTTTCCTGGTGGTGCAGGAGTTAAGAATCCACGTGCCAATGCAGGGGACACGGGTTCAAGCCCTCATCCGGGAAGATCCTACATGCTGCAGAGCAGCTAAGGCCATGTGCCACAACTACTGAGCCTGTGCTCTAGAACCCGTGAGCCACAACTACTGAGCTCACGCACCACAGCTACTGAAGCCCACCTGCCTAGAGCCCGTGCTCTGCAACAGAAGAAACCACTGCAATGAGAAGCCCATGCACCGCAATGAAGAGTAGCCCCTGCTAGCCACAACTAGAGAAAGCCCGCACGTGGCAACAAAGACCCAACGCAGCCAAAAAAAAAAAAACAAACAGTGAGATATACCCCTAGAATGACTAGAATCAAAAGCCAGTACAGTGGCTTAATAAAAGACAACTGGATTCTCATATATGCTTCTGCATTCAGTCTGTTGCACTATGTCTCTTTGGTTAAAGTACACACACAAAAAACCTGGCCCCACCAGACATATAGTTAGAAATGGATGGAGTGTTTTAATAACCTTTTCAGGTAACTGGGTATTATCCTTTGATACCGTATCAAAGCCAGGCAACCGGTCATTTCTTAAAGGTTAGTTTATAATGTGAAACCTGAAACCATATCAATTAATTTTTTGTAATCTGGTACCTTATATTTCTCTATCTTGAAAAATAAAAGCCAATACCAAGTTTTAGCAATGATGTGGAGAAAGTGAAACCCTTATAAATTTTTTGTGGGAATATAAAATGGTTTTCCACTTTGGAAAATCATTTGGCAGTTTTTTGAACAGTTAAAAATAAACTTACCAACAACTCCCCATTTCCCTCTTCCCCTACCCTCTAACAACCACCATTCTACTTTGTCTATATGAATTTGACTATTCTAGGTACTTCATATAAGTGGAAATATATAGTATTTGTTTTTTTGTGATCCATTTATTTCATTTAGCATAATGTCCTCAAGGTTCATTCATGTTGTAGCATGTGTCAGAATTTCCTTTCTCTTTAAGACTGAGTGATATTCCATTGAATGTATATACCACATTTTGTTTATCCATTCATCTGTTGATGGACACTTGGTTTGCTTCCACCATTGGGCTATGATCTCTTTGGCTGCTATGAACATGGTTGTACAAATAGCCCTTCAGGATCCTACTTTCAGTTCTTTTGGTATATACTCAGAAGTGGAATTGCTGGATCATTTGGTAGTTCTATTTTAATTTTTTGAGGAACTGCCATACTGTTTTTCACAGCAGCTGCACCATTCCCACCGGCAGTGCACAAGGGTTCCAATTTCTCCACATCCTCACCAACACTTTTTTTGGTGGTAGCCATCCTACTACAGGTGATGTGTTATCTCATTGTGGTTTTGATTTGTATTTCCCTAATGATCATTGACGTTGAGCACCTTTTCATGTGCTTATTGGCCATTTGTATATCTTCTTTGGAGAAATATCTATTCAAGTCTTTGCCCATTTTTAAATAGGGTTGTTGAATTGTGCAGTACTTGTTAGAATTAAATTATACCATCTTTAGCCAGTAGGCTCTTTTTCAAGCTATGTTCTTTTGCTACATTAGTCTTTGAATGCTTTCTTGCTTTCTAGAATAAGATAACTGAGGCACATATTCCTTGCCCCAAACCTGGAATCAACCATTTTTACTTGGAGTCTTGGTTTCTTTTATACCATTAATTTATAACTTTGTATCCTTAAACATAAATAGATGCTCAATTAATATTTCTAAGTAAGTTAGCTTGGAGCCTAAAATCTCAACCAGGGTCATGATACAAGGAGGTTTTGGTGGGTTAACTCAAACAAAATGACGTTGCCCACAGACTTTGCCAAAAGTGTTTTCCTGGCTGTTGAATATTTATGAGAAAATCAATCTGTATCTCTAGAGACCTATTCTGTTTTGTTTTGTTTCAGTTTTTAAATACACATTTCTTTCTTTCCATAGATACTCTTCTTATTGACTATCAGTTCACCTTTAGCCTATCCCAGGAAGATGACCGCTATTACACAGCCATCAATTTTGTGGCTACACCTGATGAAGTAAGATTTAAAAGTCTTCTTACTTTGTTTTGAATTTGTGTGGAACTTTTTCTTGGTCACTATGGATAGAAGCACTGCCTTAGCAGCGGTCTCCAGAAGTGGAGTCCACAGGATGATGTTTAGAGGTACAGGAAAGAAATGTTAGAATCTACATTTATCTCCTTTGTATTTAAAAGGTAAGATTTACCATGTTGTTAAGATTTTTTTTTTTTTTTTTTTGCGGTTACGTGGGCCTCTCACTGTTATGGCCTCTCCTGTTGCGGAGCACAGGCTGCGGACGCGCAGGCTCAGCAGCCATGGCTCACGGGCCTAGCCGCTTCGCGGCATGTGGGATCTTCCCAGACTGGGGCATAAACCCGTGTCCCCTGCATCGGCAGGCGGACTCTCAACCACTGCACTACCAGGGAAGCCCCATGTTGTTAAGATTTACCATGATCTGATATACAGAGTGACATTGACTCCACACATACTTGGTTTGCCCATCAGCCTATCACAGCCCCATACAGGAAAGGAGAGGAGACTGCAAGGGGAACTTCCCTGTTAGGGGGGCAGTGTCAGAACCAAGATTTACTCTCTCAGAATGGAAACTAATACCAGTGATGCAAGGCAGAGGTGACATTTATGCTCCTAGAATGAGTTCTTATCCTCATTAGGAGGTAAAAACAGTGAAGAAGTCAGCCAGAAATAATTGAAATTACTAAGGTAACTATTTGAAATGTATTTTTATATCTACTGTTGTTAATGGTAAACCCCAGCCTGCCATAAGGTATTACCTAGAGGTAAAAGGGAGCCAACACAGCATGACATTTAAAAATAAAGCATCTAGAATATGAACACACATCTATATGATTTCTTCAGTGAAATATAAAGTCATTTAATACCTACTCTGGTACATAATGAAATTTTACTAAACCTGATGGTAAATTATTTAGGACCCTCCTTGGAGGTTTCTTATTTCTCATCAACATACACAAAGCCATTTACCATTACAAAAATACAATAAATGGGGCTTCCCTGATGGCGCAGTGGTTGAGAGTCCGCCTGCCGATGCTGGGGACACGGGTTCGTGTCCCGGTCTGGGAAGATGCCACATGCCACGGAGCGGCTGGGCCCGTGAGCCATGGCCACTGAGCCTGCGCGTCCAGAGCCTGTGTTCCGCAACGGGAAAGGCCACAACAGTGAGAGGCCCGCGTACCGCAAAAAAACAAAACAAAACAAAAATTACAATAAATGTAACAAATAATACATGGAAAAATATGATAATATGCCAAAGTGTATTCCTTTGATAACAGATGTTATCAACAAGCACTACTAAATTTAAGAAATAAATAAATCAGTACTAAAAGGAAGTCCATTGTGGGATGTTCACAATTAAATGAAAGTAAGATTTGTTTTTTGTATTCCACTTCAATGATAAAATTAAGAAGAGATGTACTAGAGAGGATACATTCTCATGAGTGAATAGCTTTTTAAGTAAAAATAATAAATGACTTTCAATGAAAATGTTTTGTGGAAATACTGTGTCAGTATATCATTTCAGTGGCTGTACTGACCAGAATTTTTTTTTTTTAGGATAAGGCTGTAGCAAAAGTACCACACATGAAATTTATTTATTGCCTTGTTTCTCTTATGACAGAATATTTAATAGTTACACAATGTATGTGTCCTGTCTTTTACAAAAGCACCAAGATTTCAAGGTTATTAATCCTTTCCAGGGAAAGAAGTAATTGCTAGTAATGTGCTACCAGCAAATATTAAAAAATAGGGAATTCCCTGGTGGTCCAGTGTTTAGGACTCCTTGCTTCCACTGCAGGGAGCACGGGTTCGATCCTTGGTCAGGGAACTAAGATCCCACATGCCGTGACGCGGCTCAATAAATAAATAAATAAACACTTGAGCTGTCCCTTTAAGAGGATGGTGAGGCCTTATCAATAAATGAGAAGGTAACTGCTTTATGAGAGAAACTTCTGGTTTGGAGATCACATTTTGGAAATAGCTGTTTGGAAATGCTTCCATTGTTGTAATTTTTGTGCTGTAAAAGCTATCAAAAGAATGCTCTTTAAAATCTTAATTTTCTAACCTGTTTTAAAAATCTTTCAATGTGAAGAATTACAGCAGGATTGGATTCAAAAATATAAAATGCAACATCTGACTCATTTGGAAAAACAATTTTTTGACCCCAAGAAAGAGATTTATTAGCCAAATTTCAGGGAAAACTGAAAATTAGTATCATGATTTACACAACACTACTGACAGTGCTCTTCTTCCAGCTGGCCCAACACATTCCTCAGAGATACCCTTTTCAGTCATTAAAACCAAGAGTCACAGTAAATTAAACTAGCTCTTCAAACTGCTGTATCTCTTAAGTGGTATACAAAGTTTTCAAAGGTAATAAAACATATTCTGTCATATTTCTCTTGAAATAATATTTTTAGTGAGAGAAAAATGTTCTTAATCATGGGTGAAGACAATTTAAAGTTTTTAAATTTAGTTTATTTCAGCTTTATGTGCTATTCCTTAAAAACCACTTCCATTTTGGAGAACTTTACACTGTATATAATCTATGGGTTCAGAAGTACATAGGTTTGATTTATAAGTTAATATAAATTGAGACACTTGACCAAGTGTTTTACTCTTCAGACATTTGGAAAGGGCTGCCCAGAGGATCCTTAAGAGGCTGATTCCCTAACATAGGTCACAGGATGTAGGTCACTGTGCTCTGGTGAGGGTCTTTTTAAAAGATACTTTTTCATGGAGTTAGGCATTTGATAAAGCATTAAATCCCATATACTTTTTTTTTTTTTTTTGCGGTATGCGGGCCTCTCACTGTTGTTGCCTCGGAGTTAGGCATTTGATAAAGCATTAAATCCCATATACTTTTTTTTTTTTTTTTGCGGTATGCGGGCCTCTCACTGTTGTGGCCTCTCCCGTTGCGGAGCACAGGCTCCAGACGCACAGGCGCAGCGGCCATGGCTCACGGGCCCAGCCGCTCCGCGGCATGTGAGATCTTCCTGGACCGGAGCACAAACCCGTGTCCCCTGCATCGGCAGGCGGACTCTTAACCATTGTGCCACCAGGGAAGCCCCCATATACTTTTTTTTAATTTAACTAATTAATTAATTTATTTGGTTGCACTGGGTCTTGGTTGTGGCAGCCAGGCTCCTTGGTTGTGGCATGAGAACTCTTAGTTGCGTCATGCATGTAGGATCTAATTCCCTGACCAGGGATAGGGAGGGAATGTGCTCCCTGCATTGGGAGCACAAAGTCTTAACCAGTGTGCCACCAGGGAAGTCCCTAAATCCCATATACTTTTATGGGAGGGAAATGAAATTTGTTTTGGGTATATGGCTTATGTTAAGGTTAGAAATTTTGCTAACTGTTCTATAAGCATGAGTTTCTCTTAAGACATTAAAGTATCTTTTTGTAATTAAGAAAGTTGAGAGTAGTAAAATTTAACTACTGCTTTCTTTTAAAATTAGGAAACTGTTACAGTAATTCATTTTCTAATTATTTGTACATCTCATCAGCAAAATAGGGATTTGGACATGTTCATCAATGCCTCCAAAAACTTCAACCTCAACATCACCTGGGCTGCCAGCTTCTCAGGTAAAGACATACCTAGAGAAGACCTTCTGAGTGGAGATAATTGATTGAGAAAGAGTTGAGAAAAGGGGCTCTGGAGACAGACAGATGGGTTTGAAACCCACTTTTGCCACTTATTAGCTGGAAGACCTTGAGCAAGTGTCTAAAATCTATCTCTAGACCCTTAGGGTTATTCATCTTAAAGAGAAGGTAATAATACTGTAGATTAAATTTGACTATACCTGTCAGTGCCTGCCATGGTATCAAGATCAGTACATGCTCACGACCCTGCCCTACTACCACCATTAATACCATTGCTGCAGCCTCTGCTGTGGTGCTGCCATCATCATCTCCATCCATGCTTCAGAAGTGAAAAATGCAATTGACTCAGTTTCAAGAAATGGAAACATTTTTAGTAGAATGAGATTTTAGTAGGTACAGGGGAAAATGTACTTTGGGAATTAAATAAAGCTCTAAGAGCACAGCTTTTGCTGTCTTGTTTATCTTACAGTGATTTACTAAAGATCTTCTGAGCAGAAAATCTAAAGAAAGAAAGGGTGGCCCTGATGTAGTGGTTAAGAATGTAGCTCAGCGGACCTAGATTTGAATTCTCCCTGTTACTTGTTTTCTGAGCCAGTTTCTGCAGGTATGAAATGGGATAATAAAAACACCCAGCCATGTAGAATGTTCTGAGGATTAAATGAGATAATAAATGAAGTACTCAATGTAAGTGCTAGAAACATGGGATATTCTCATCAAGTGGTAATTATGTTTCATCATCATTATTACTATTACAATACTGTTTTTTGGTCAAAACACAATCAATTAGACTGAAACAAAATAAAAACATTACTTTGCACATCACCTTGTGTTCATCATATCTTAAAAGATTGTGTAGAATTCAGAAAAGGTTCAGAAACTTGCAGTGAGGAGAGGTCTTAAAGAAAAAGTCTGAATTATCAGAGCCTTTGTTTGGAGAAAGGTGGCATCCCTGAGTATGTGATTGATTTACAATGACAGTCTCAATGAGGACCAGCCAATCTGGCTTCAGTCACAGGATTTAACTCAGCCTATTTCATGAATATTTATAAACACTAGATTTCCTGGCTGAGGGACAATGTGGAATGTTGAAGGACTGCCTGGGAATAGGATTGGTTTATATCAGATTGGGGGGATTTAGAGTCAGTTGTAGCTGGTAGCAGAAGGGACTGAGTGACCGCTAGAGCTCCTTCCTCCCTGCTGCTGTTGAGACTTGCGGTCACTGCTAGTTAAAAAGTGAGAGCTGAATCCCTGTCCCTGGTATGGGGGATCTAGAGCACTGCCAGACAGGTTTAAGGGGGCAGTGCAAAGCAAGTGAAGTGTTGTGGGCAGAATGAATGCCATTGCTTGTTAATAGGATTCTAGTGGTATCTGGATTTTCAAAGCCACATGTAGCGTGTTTCTGTGGGAGGAGTTGTAGGGGATCCTGGTAAAGCCATTTGGGTTAAGGGCATAGGCTTGTGTATCAGCCCTCCCAGCTTCAAATCCCAGCTCTACTTCCTGGCTATGTGACCTGAGCCAAGTTACTTATTTTTCCTGAACCTGAGTTTTCTGATGTGTAAATGAGGATAATAGTTGTTATAATTAAATGAGATTGAGCTCTTAAAGGCCATTTCTGGAACATAGTGTTTAATAAATGCTATTATCATTATTATTAGTGAGGGCAGATTCGGTCCCCCAAAAAAAGTCTCTTTATTTCATTCTTTTCTTCCTAACAGCTGGAACCCAGGCTGGAGAAGAGATGCCTGTTGTTTCAAAAACAAACATTAAGGAGTACAAAGATAGTTTCTCTAATGAGAAGTTTGATTTTCGCAACCACCCAAATATCACTTTCTTTGTTTATGTCAGTAATTTCACCTGGCCCATCAAAATTCAGGTAAGAAGTGCTTTTTAGTCTCATACTTGCAAAGATGGTGAAATGTATGTAGTGAAACTAAATTCACTAATCTGTAACTTGCAGTAAATGAAATGTACAATATTAATATTGTTTTGCCTTTGTAATATCTGTGGTAAAGGAGTGCTGAGCACATAACCATAAAAGAAGATTGTAGTGGGGCTGCCTTAAATCACTTATGAAGGAAATTTATAAGCACTTTTTAAATAAATTTATTTTTATTTATTTATTTTTGGGTGAGTTGGGTATTTGTTGCTGCACATGGGCTTTCTCTAGTTGCAGCGAGCGCGGGCTACTCTTTGTTGCGGTGCTTCTCACTGCAGTGGCTTCTTGTTGCGGGGCACAGGGTCTAGGTGCATGGGCTTCAGTAATTGTGGCACGTGGGCTCAGTAGTTGTGGCTTGTGGGCTCTAGAGCACAGGCTCAGTAGTTGTGGCTTGTGGGCTCTAGAGCACAGGCTCAGTAGTTGTGGCGCACGGGCCTTGTTGCTCTGCGCCATGTGGGATCTTCCTGGACCAGGGATCGAACCCGTGTCCCCTGCATTAGCAGGCGGATTCTTAACCACTGTGCCACCAGGGAAGTCCCTGTAAGCACTTTTGAAAGCAAGTTGATATATAACAGATTTGGTAATTACAACTGTGTTTATTTCTTCATTAAGGACTTGTCACTAAAAAGCCTGTAGAGCTACACAACGAGCTTCAATTCTGGAATGAGTAAGGTGCATATAAATGAAGCAAACACACATAACCAGTGAAAACTGGCATATGCAAAGTGCCATATGAGAAGATCCCCAAAATGCTATCAGGTTTTAAAGGAGCATAGGATGGAGGGTAATGGGGACACAGTGGAGGACAGTATAAGGTCGCCTTAAGGGTTTAGGCCTTATAGTCAGACAGATGCACATTTGAGTCCTGGCTTGCTCTTGTACAATTCCTGTAGCCTCTCCATGACTCAGATTCTTTGTACATGTGACCTGAAAGGGTAAGTCTAAGCGTTCATGTTGCCTGCTACAGCCACTGCTGCTATCAACCTGCCCCTTTTCTCTGTTCCCAGGGGACCAGTGCACTCCCTCTTATCCAGGCTTGACCCATGGCCCCATTTGTGCTCTTTATAATCATCTGCCACTATGTCTTTGAGGCCTTGCCTCAGTACTTTCTGCTTTAACCCCCTTCATTTTGGGTAAAGGTGTGGAGTTTGGGGAAGGGTGGACTTTTGTTTGTTTATTTGTTTGTTTAATTTATTTTTTATACAGCAGGTTCTTATTAGTTATCTATTTCATACATATTAGTGTAAATATGTCAATCCCAATCTCCCAATTCATCCCACCACCACCACTCCCCTTTCCCCCACCTTGGTGTCTATACGTTTGTTCTCTACATCTGTGTCTAAGGGTGGACTTTGGAACGACTGGTTCACCTTTAGCCGTGGAAGCGTGGTCACTAGACTGGGGCTCTGGCTGCTTGCCAACTTTCAGTAGTGTGATCAAGTGAAGCAAGTTGCCACTGATCATTTGGGATGAGCTTGAAATCTTGTTCTGGTGGGTATGTGTTCATGCCTTGGGACTGTAACTAAAGAACAGTCAGTCACTCTTTTCCTTTCTGGAATGTGGAGGACAGGCTCTGTGTTGTATTTTTTTCTCACCACCCTCTTTTTCTATTTAGATGGTGCACAGATTTGTTTATCCTCTAATCTGCTTCTTCCTTTGTTCTTGCACACTCTCTGCTTCCCTTCCCAGCTAGCCTTCTTGTACGCATTGACCACACTCCCTGTTTGTTTCCTCTTATCCATTCACCCATCAGCCCGCAACAGTCTGCCTTCCTCCTTCACCACATCCTGAAGCTGCCTGCCACGGTGGACTCCAGTGACTGAATTCTTTAGTCCCCTTCTCCTTCTCATTGCATGATTTGAATCAGCATCTTTCCTGCCTTCCTGGTCCTTTCCCTGATTCTCTGGCCTGTCTTTTTAAGGAATCTTCTTCCTTAAACACTGAGGTTGTCTGAGATTCAGGCCATGGTTCTCCTCTGTCTTTATCCCACTTGTAAGACTTATTGTACTACTTCTGTACTTGTGATTCTCAGTATTCTGTCTTCAGCCCTGCTTACACTTGAACTCCAGACCAGTGTTCTTAGTTGCTGCCTAGGCATCTCTACCTGGCCATTCACAGGCTCCCTGTACTCAGGGAGTCATTCTTGTGATCTTAGCCCCAAACCCTCTGCTTCCTTTCTAGTGAATGGTACCACCATTTGTCCTATTGCATAAGCCAGGACCCTGGAAATTATTTGCATTCCTGGAATAAACCTGACTTGGCATGATATATGATTTTTTACTTTATCTGTTGCTGGACTCAGTATGCTAATATTTTGGTTAGAATTTTGTATCTATCTCATGAGTGAGAAAGTCCAGTAATATTCCTTTCCTGTCTTTGTTATGGTTTTTATATCAAAGTTAAACTAACCTTTATTTATAAATTGAGGAGTTATCTCTCTTTCTCATTTCTGAAAAAGGTTATATAAGATTAGAATTATATGAATATATGAACCTTGCATACTTGATAGATCCCTGTTGTAAAATCATTTGATCCCGGTGTTTTATTTGTGGAGTTTCGTTTTCTTTTTTAATTGCTGATTCAACTTCTTTAATAGTTACGGGATGTTTTGGATGTTCTCTCTCTATTTGCATTACTTAAGATAATTTTTTCTAGATGTTAAATTATTTCATATGTTTTCAAATGCATTGACACAAAGTTGTTCACACTGTCCTCTTTTCTAATCTTGGCAGCATATGTGCTTAAGTGTATTGAATAATATACTTAAAAATGGTGAAAATGGTCAATTTTATCTTAATATATATTTACCCCAATTTTTTAAACTTTAAAAAAACAGACCAGAGGGCAGACAGCAAAAGCAAGAAGAACTACAATCCTGCAGCCTGTGGAATAAAAACCACATTCACAGAAAGATAGACAAGATGAAAAGGCAGAGGGCTATATACCAGATAAAGGAACAAGATAAAACCCCAGAAAAACAACTAAATGAAGTGGAGATAGGCAACCTTCAAGAAAATGAATTCAGAATAATGATAGTGAAGATGATGCCTCGGAAAAAGAATGGAGGCAAAGATTGAGAACATGCAAGAAATGTTTAACAAAGACCTAGAAGAATTAAAGAACAAACAAACAGAGATGAACAATACAATAACTGAAATGAAAACTACACTAGAAGGAATCAATAGCAGAATAACTGAGGCAGAAGAACAGATAAGTGACCTGGAAGACAGAATGGTAGAATTCACTGCTACAGAACAGAATAAAGAAAAAAGAATGAAAAGAAATGAAGACAGCCTAAGAGACCTCTGGGACAACATTAAACTCAACAACATTCACGTTATAGGGGTGCCAGAAGGAAAAGAGAGAGAGAAAGGACCAGAGAAAATATTTGAAGAGATTATAGTTGAAACCTTCCCTAACATGGGAAAGGAAATAGCCACACAAGTCCAGGAAGCGCAGCGAGTCCCATACAGGATAAACCCAAGGAGAAACACACCGAGACACATAGTAATCAAATTGGCAAAAATTAAAGACAAAGAAAAATTATTGAAAGCAGCAAGGGAAAAACGACAAATAACATACAAGGGAACTCCCATAAGGTTAACAGCTGATTTCTCAGCAGAAACTCTACAAGCCAGAAGAGAGTGGCATGATATACTTAAAGTGATGAAAGGGCAGAACCTACCACCAAGATTACTCTACCCAGCAAGGATCTCATTCAGATTCGATGGAGAAATCAAAAGCTTTACAGACAAGCAAAAGCTAAGAGAATTCAGCACTACCAAACCAGCTGTACAACAAATGCTAAAGGAACTTCTCTAAGTGGGAAACACAACAGAAGAAAAGGACCTACAAAAACAAACCCAAAGCAATTAAGAAAATGGTAATAGGAACATACATATCGATAATTGCTCTAAACGTGAATGGATAAATGCTCCAACCAAAAGACACAGCCTTGCTGAATGGATACAAAAGCAAGACCCATATATATGCTGTCTTCAAGAGACCCACCTCAGACCTAGGGACACATACAGACTGAAAGTGAGGGGATGGAAAAACATATTCCATGCAAATGGAAATCAAAAGAAAGCTGGAGTAGCAATACTCATATCAGATAAAATAGACTTTAAGTTTAACGAATGTAACAAGAGACAAGGAAGGACACTACATACTGATCAAGGGATCAATCCAAGAAGAATATATAACAATTATAAATATATATGCACCCAACATAGGAGCACCTCAATACATAAGGCAACTGCTAACAGCTGTAAAAGAGGAAATGGACAGTAACACAGTAATAGTGGGGAACTTTAACACCTCACTTACACCAATGGACAGATCATCCAAAATGAAAATAAATAAAGAAACAGAAGCTCTAAATGACACAATAGACCAGATAGATTTAATTGATATTTATAGGACATTCCATCCAAAAACAGCAGATTACACTTTCTTCTCAAGTGCACACGAAACATTCTCCAGGATAGATCACATCTTGGGTCACAAATCAAGCCTCAGTAAATTTAAGAAAATTGAAATCATATCAAGCATCTTTTCTGACCACAACACTATGAGATTAGAAATGAATTACAGGGGAAAAAACGTAAAAAACACAAACACATGGAGGCTAAACACTACGTTACTAAATAACCACAAGATCACTGAAGAAATCAAAGAGGAAATCAAAAAATACCTAGAGACAAATGACAATGAAAGCATGACAATCCAAAACTTATGGGATGCAGCAAAAGCATTTCTAAGAGGGAAGTTTATAGCTATACAAGCCTACCTCAAGAAACAAGAAAAATCTCAAACAATCTAGCCTTACACCTAAAGGAACTAGAGAAAGAAGAACAAACAAAACCCAAAGTTAGCAGAAGGAAAGAAATCATAAAGATCAGAGCAGAAATAAATGAAATAGAAACAAAGAAAAC